CCCACATATTTTTTAAGGGACCCACACATTTATAAGGGGTGGGTCCCAGGGACTCCACATTATCGAACACTAATGCAATCCCTGGATACAGCGTAGATATTGATCGCTGTGAACAGTGAATGCGTAGAACACAGTAACCGTGCGTAAACTACGCTTTGACAATGATCTGTTAATACAAGTAAAATGCGATAAATATTTCATGCCATATTCAGTTTACTTCTCAAAAATAACCAACTTGACCCATTAGGTCAAAGGACGCTGCTGTAGGTCAAATCTGCAAATGCATCATGGCGGAAAGTGATTTTCATCAAGAGTTTGCGTACGCTCCAACACCTTCGTCAGTGGAGATAATATGACAATTTTGACTTCGACTGTGTTCCAACAGACTCAAATGTTCATAATTCCGTAAATTATGGTGGTATGTAATTAATATTGTAATAAAATGTGCATACTTTTGTGATCATTTCTGTTTCTTCATTGTGAAAATCAATGACGACGCAACTAATTTAGTAATTTGATTTTCCCTCAAAGACGTAATCTGTCACTTGATGAATCAAAATTTTCATTTGAACTCTTTTTCGAGTGGGGTGCTCGGGTAAGCGCCCACCCCTAAAAACTCGTGATTTTCTGAGTTGAGGCCCCTGGGCGCTAACGCGGTCGAGTACGGTACAAGACATAATGAATTTTTCAGACAAAATTCTGTAAAAACTCTTGTGTGCAACATGTCTGGTTACCTTCCCTTTATTTCGTGAGTTCTTCAGCACCTTCATATTAGTCTGGATATGTTGCCTTCATTTTGCTCATTAACTGTATATTTATTCTAACATCACAAAGAATGCGGAAGTCACACTTTCACCTCTGTGGCAACTATCAGTTGATACAATGAGTGATGAGAACATGCAACTGTCATTCATTGTTCAGGACATTAAAATATTCAGATTAGCAGAATGCTATATTTAAATGTATCAAGCAATCAATGTCGCGGTCGCCACTGATTGTACAAGCAAAATCAAGGTAACCTATCAAGACTAGTATGGGAAGGACCTGCGAAATAATAAGCAGGTAACCTGACTAGTATGTGACAAACATTTTGTATTCAGTGAATCTGTGTAGATGCATTCTCTTATCACCAAGCAGAAGCTAAGTAACTGAGAGAAAATAGAAGTCTTACTACAACCATGTTGGATAATTAAACAGTGTTAAAGGAATTATGAATTTTCCAACACCAAGTCAATATTTCAAGCATGACTGACAAATCTTAAGCATTAAATTACATAATGTTGTTATTATTGATTACATGAAATTAAAATAAGATAAGTTTTTCCATAACCCACGGTAACCTTGAAGTTGGATAAACAAACAATATACACATAGCAATGGTACCAGTACATAGCTGAGCAGAACTTGGCAAATGAGCATGACAAATGCTACTAGTTATTAACATTGTACCTTTTTACAAGGAGAACTTTGAAACTAGTGATAATAATAATCTAGATGATTTATTTAATTATCTAGATGATTTATTTAATTAACTAGATGATTTACCCATGTTGAGTAGAGAAAATTGAAATTCCGTCTCACTATATGTGACAATTATTATGGATGCATGAAAAAGACAAACGAACACCAACCTCTTGGTACATGAGATGTGAATGAAGGTGGCTGAGTTGAAGGTACTTGCTGTGGAGAACTTAGCTGCGACTGTGTTGTTCCTTTGATAATGGACGCAAGAGGAATCGTTGATGCTGCCCCACCCAGCAAGTTGCTATGGCTGACATTTGTTACAGATGTCTGCCCGGGTAAGCCTGTAAGTGGTGCTACTGAGCTGTCCAATGCAACTGTCATGTGACTAGGTTGTATTTTAGTAATTCCAGCTATTGTAGTTAATATTGTAGGTGCTGGTGCAATTGGTCGAATTGGAAAACTAACCACAGGCTTTTGTAAACTCTGTAATGAGACACACAGGAAGGTTTTTAAGGTACAAAACAAAGAACATTAGAGAACAAATAAAATGCACATGTCTGTAGAATAACTGAAATTTTAATACCACCAAGTGAAATTCGGACACAACAAAATTAAAAGATTGTCAATGATGTCTTGACTGCACCAAATTTTAAGGCTAACACTTCTATGGAAGCATCAAAAAGATATCTGACTATTTTGAAGGGGAATCTTTGTCAACAGCCTTTGTGGGCGTTAGCAAATTCAAGGCCTGGAAAAATGTGAGAAAAAGAAACAAGGCTTTTTTTTAAGAAGGTCATAGAAAGTGTTAATTTAAGTTATATTTAAGACACTATGACACAAGCCCAAACTGAATGTAGACACATGGCTCATGTATGAGAAAACAAATCAAAGAAAGCTTAGAAAGAACTCCCATGTGCTGAGAGTATTGAAGACACATTAAATATAATTCGAAATTACTTAGCTGAAAACTAATTATGCAAATCAGAAAATTAATATGACCAGATTTGAGTGTAAAACTAATGAGGTCTGCGCAATGTAACAGAAAATCTATGTCTCCAAGTTTAATTGAAATGTGATTAGAACCAAAAAATTATGAATTATTATGCTTATTAGGGAATTAATATGAACAGATTTTTACCCCAAACTAATTAGGTTTGTACATTGTCCTAGAGCATCTTTGTACTAAGTTTCATTGAAATGGAATA